TACCACATGGTCCTTTGTAGAGTAGCTGTGCTCATACGTGTTCAATTACTATAGTTTTGGAAATTAGGTTCAATCGGAACTAGGGGAATATAATTCTTTACAGATAAATCTCTAGCCATAGTAAAGAACAGGATGGCAGCCAGAGCAAGTACTACCAATTGGAAGATCAACAGCATCGCACCTCAAAACGTGTTGACTTTAGGCAAATTGTTTTCACATGGGAAATTCAGACTCAGTTCAGACTCCGATGAAGTAACTGCTCACATCAAAGATCGTTATCATTCATCAATCACTTTTGACTCCTATTGGCTATGTGTACCCAAAGATATAAGCCCTTGAGTAAATTGGCACATTCTACAATTTGTTTCATTCTCACAGGGTTTCTCAGGGCCAAAAACTGTCCCTTTATTCCGATTCTCTCCAGAAGATGAGGAGGATCAAGATAACGTAGCTGAAGACTGTTCACAAGATTCAAGCCCAGATGAACCAGATTTCCCTGTTCCGCCGAAGCCATCTGCCATTTCGAGACCATTCCATACTGGAATCGAAAGAAGGGACAAGTGCAAAACCCAGGCAGGTTCAATTTTGACTGTCTTCGGTCATCTATTTTACCAGTTGCAGGATGAATCGAGTTCATCAAAAGAAATCATGTATTCGTTGCTGAACTTTCAGTCTTTGCAATCACCTAAAAACTTGCTTGCCTCAGCAAATTCGGAAACAGCATCTGACGGTGAGCTGCAAGCAAAGGATCCTGATGAGTTGTTTGTCCTTCTCCAATGTTATGAATCTTTGCCCATGCCTTGCAGAATACTAGTGTACCCGTGGACTACAACAGGTGGTGTGAATATTAGCAACAGTGATCTGAGTCGGTTATCACCTGGAGAATTTTTGAACGACAATCTCATAGAGCTCGGATTACGGTGTGTGACTTGTAAACCACCCGTTTCAATTTTTACAAATATCTTTAGGCTGACGTATGAACTTCTGCAAACTGGCAAGCCCTCCGTTGCAAAAGAAATTACTATTTTTAGTCCTTTTTGGTTCCCAAAGTTCCAGAAGTGAGCTCTTATCAACATCACTGGGAGCCGTGCTTATATATTCTCATAGGAATTACCAAGACATCCACCGTTGGACTGCAAAGTTCGACATATTCAAGAAGAAATACTTGATTATACCAATGCATGAAGAGTAATTTTCCTCCCTAGCTGCTTCAACTGTGACTTGACAACGTATATAGTCTTCATTGGTACCTCGCCATTATTTGCCATCCCGAATATGCACTGCTAACGAATCAAGAACACCTTAGAAACGGTGAAAATCAAAACTTGTCCGAAAGCAATGACCACAGGTAAGTCAGACTAGAACTGTGTGGTTCATTGTAATCACATCGATCCAGAACGATTATTTTTACCCTCGATTCCCTTGGTTATTCGCATTGGAGCGAAGCCAGCCAATTAGGGAAATTCCTTGCCCTTGAAGCCCTCGACAAGAAGGGGTTGCAAAATATAACGGAGGCGATTGGTCAAACTGTCACTGTAGGTCCCAGAACACATGCCAATCACTGGCTTAACGCAAAAGCAGGTACCCAAACAACCAAACTTTTCTGACTGTGGATTATACATGATGCACTTTGCCACAAAATTCATGTCGGATCCTGACAAATTTTACAAAGTCATGGTAATCATTCTCACCTGTCATCCTCAACTCATTCACATAAGACATTATCAGTCAACTTCAACCCTTCCGACTGGCGTTGATCTGAAGACTTTTTGGGACAATGAAGAGGTTCCTGGCTTGCGAGCATCTTTTCAGAATGAGATCATTGATCTCTCCAATAAATGGTTCATTATGATGGCAACGCAACCTCCAGTAGCAGCAGATTCATGCGAAAGTGACGTCGAGATAGTGGAGCAGACTGGATTAGCTGTTGGTCTTAAAAGGAAGCCTAATGAAGTGGATGACCCGGAGGAATCACACCGTGAGCAGAAGAGAAAATGTACATAGACAAAGGTGTCTATCATATGGATATCAGGTACCTATCTCCCATTGTCTCCAGTACCTAAGAAAGAGCATAGAATTTTCTTCAGTTTTCTACAATATTTTGTCACATCTGTTTGCCTGCGAGAAAGGACAGAATATTATAAAGGATACTACAATCTATGAAATGGTATCATAGAATCAATTTAATGTGAATCTGGTAACACAAGCTAGCTGTGTTTACCACCTACTCCATCAGTCATTTCCTACGCTCCGACTGGCATTCTTCAACTTCCTTTCTCGACTCTCCTCAACTTGATTTTTTTGTGAATGCTTAGCTACATACACGTTCACGATGTCTTACAAGGTTCTTTATTTTTCTTTCTTCCCTTACAATACACCTACGGTAGAGAACAACTTACCACATGTGATTGCGTATAGCAACCAACACAGCAGATGTTTGACTGAGCCCCAGATAATCATCCCTTGCCACAGGCAACTATCATTGATTAACAGTACCTTTGAGAGAAAATTGAGTGACCATCACTAACCACAACACTGTATTCTACACATGTTACGACACCTACTCCTAGCAACAAATGACGCAAGACCATGGCAAGATGCTCCTCCCCTGTGGAATGTAGCTCGAGCCAACATCTTGAGGTGCCTCGGGCATGCGAGGGGGAGGATTCATGTTTTGCAGACAGTCTCCTCCCACCTCCACACTGGAGGACAGTCCTCACACACTTTCATCCATAAGCCTGTACTAATGTACAACCTCCGCAAGTGCTACGTAGATGCCACACATGGCTATGTAATCCCCGATCTACAACACCCTGCGAAAACCCCCCTCACACAACTCGACCACTATCCAAGGTGACTACCTTCGGGCCTCCCAAGGCCACAAACCCATCTCTCCCAAGTACAGCCCGCCTAGATATCACTCTCTCCTGCCCCCCCCTCTTTTCACGACATGCTGATGTGCTCGGTAACGGGCAGCGCGCAAATGAAACAAGCATCTAGATCATCAATCTAGATACTAAATCACATACACACACACACAATCACCAATGTATATAAGTTCGAGGGTGAGTACAATAGAAGCACTCACAATGTACTTAGATTTAGATAATCTAGTGGGGTTTTGTCTGAAAACAACTTCAATTCTTCTTTCGATGTGTTTTACACAAAGTACACTAGTCCGCGATAGCAGGGTTTTATGAACTTGTTTTGTAAGGTATAGTCGAGCAAGTTATGCTCGTTTCGACGTTGTCTAGAAGAGCTTCTAGCGGACACTTCAAATAATCAAACAACCAAAGACTCTGAGGTCTACAAAGAGTGCAAAATCACTCTACAAAGAACGCTCAGGTTCTGACTTCAAGTACAAGACTTGCAAAGAGTACACAGACTCTGGAGTTCCTTGAACTTGACGATTGTTCGAACTTAAAGCATTCTAGGGCTTATTTTACTTCAACTAGATGAGGTCTTTTGACTTAAAGTCGACTCAGCATGTCTAGATCGCTAATCTCGGAGAGAGAGAACATGAGGCCTTTGTCCGCAGAGCAGTTCAATTAACTAGCAAGGCACAAGTGCAGGGATGGCTCTACTTCCTACTTAACTCTTCTAGATTACTGTAGTCGCCCTTATGGGTTGACTTTGGTAACTTAATTCACTTCAGTCGAGGATATGCAATAAAACCAGTGATTGATTAGGTAGCTATACAGGCTACTAGCACAAATGCGGGGGAATGCTTTCCTGCCATTATGCGTCTAGTCGCTGCTAATTTATACGATTCGTGTTCTAGGTATAGGAGCCCGTATCTACAGTAATTATGGTACGAGCTTTGGAATTAATACAAACGGTGAGTCACTATCCTACAAGTATCGCGCCATTCTGTAGTTTCTATTCAGTTCGACGTGACTGCGCCGGGTTATTCTGTCGCCGAGGAGTGCCCTACTAGTCTGTGGGTGCTCCTTCTTCCATCTGCAAGGCTTGCCGCATGCTGTATGTATGGAATACTGTGGTATGCACAGGATCTCGAGGATGTAACCACCGATTGCGATCGACTGCAGGTCCGAGATTATATTCTGTTGATCACTGCGCGATCAAGGTCGGTCATCTCGGTACCCAATGTGGCTATTCATTCTTCCAAGGTTATTCCTTTCCTAGCCTGAGTTGATCTCGAAAGCTGATCTGTTTCTCGACTTAGCAATTTTTCTTGACAGGTTCTTTCTACTTGTCGAGGCGACGAGGCATCTAGTTCATTCCATTCTTCAACTTCTTGGTTTTTATACTCCATACAGATGAGTCCCTGAGATTTGACTGTAATAGTCTTGTTTAGGTGGGGCTTAGCTTGGCGTGTTGACGGCTGGTAGAATTGACTCTTCAAGACATCGTTTCTAAGTCCGTTCTGTACTGCCGTGCTTTCATTCTTTATGTAGTATTTAGCTACCAGCACAAAGCCTCCACTGTAGCTCTCTGTACCGCTTGTAGATTGCATAAACTGATGTAAAATCGCAAAATCTACGGGTAGCCTGATACCAGGCATATCAGCGCTAGTAGAAATTAGTTAGTAAAGTGTACCACCCTCAGTAGATACCACTCGAGACAGACCACAACATAGGATATAGAAACCAGATGTATACATATGCCCTAAAAGGCGTGAATACTATAAATGGGATTTCATGAGAAAATAGAGCACAAGATCGCATCTGCCCATTCAGAGGTATGCCCAGACACATTTCAAAGTGACCTTGAATGTTATATCTCACACCGTTTTATATCTGTCTTCAAAGACTGGAAGGCTGGATTGTGGGTCTTAGTCAGCAATGTCATCGAGCTGGATGATGGTCTTAGTCAGCAATGCCATCGAGCCATCATATGACCATGCGAGTTGAGTGCCATCCTGTGACATCCCAGAATAGAATTCAAAAGATGAACTGGCTCGTGGCCTTTGTCCCCTTCCATGACCACCTATAATGTAGTCTCGTATGCCTGAGCAAAAGAAAATATAACATCATTCACTACATATGCTGTAAGAATTCTCGGATGGACATCTCTATAACGGGTGCCTCGCCCGAAATTTCAGCATCTTCTTCATCAGCTTCGACATCTTCCGCATCGGCATCATCAAGTTCGTCATCACTGTTCAAGTCTGGAATATCAGGTATTGTAGCTTGGTCTGATTGAAGTTTATCAGATTGCTTAGTGTCCGATTTGAAAGATTCTGACCTTGCCCAACCACCTGTTTTGGACCTCCTTGATTCTCGTCGGTTTCTTCTGCTTCGTATGCTCTCGTAGAAGCGACATGCCATTCATCAAGAACAACAATATGGCATTCGTGAAATTTATCCAGCAATGCAAGGTATACATTCCAGATGCACTCTCGGGTTACTTCTGGATGGCCGAGTTCCTCCATAAATACTTCAGCCCACTGCCTAAACGAGTTAGGGACAAGCTGCAGCATGGGGTGATCAGGTGAGGCATAAATTTGCCTCGCAGCTTGTATAGATTCTGGGATGAAAGCAACCTATGAAAAAACGTTGAATTTGGAAAAATGATAGGTGCTTGTAGGTACCTTGAAATCCTGGGCCCCAAATCGCTCAGGAGCTTGTTCAATGAGTAAAGGGACTCCATTCGGTCTTGCCACCTTGCGATTTCATCTTTTCTTTGTCGTGTTGTTTTTGATCACATACAAATTGAGTTCTCGTTGGAACCAAGGGATAAAAAGGAAATGGAATATCAATCTATGAAATCAGCTGAGTCCAGTTCGATTTGAAGCTGTTAAAGAGAAGAGACGTACGCTTCCAGAGGCACCTTCGGGTCATACCAGCCTTGCTCAACACCAAACTGAAAGATTCCTTCATAGCCAAAGCTAAAGTGAGCGCGGAACACACTCCATACGATTTCTGAAGGAATGTTTTTCTTCTCTGCCATCCATCGGTGCTGCAAGGTATTGTCCAAGTCCTTGTCAGCCCATTGGTGCAAGAAGCTATGCGCCCTAGCCAGGTTACCGTTCTCATTGCCCATATCACTTTGTGTAAGAACAGGACTGTCTGGACAAGAGTAAGATAGTGATGCCTTGCAGAAAGGTTTAAAGACCTACGCCCGGTGTGTTCCACTACATCCAGGTAGTATGAACAGATTAAGATGGGATTTGAATTGTTCCACCAGACTCGCATCCACTTCAGGACGCCAGTGAAAGGGTCTATGCCACTGTGAAGGCAGAGGCCAAAGCGATATTTCCACTTGTCATGTTGGTCGACGCACCAGAGGTCATTGACACCAGCACAATAAAAAACTTTTCTGATGAGTCCCTTTCGAATTCTTCAGGACGCATGCAAGGGTTCCTTCAAATACACCCATTCCTTGATTACGTCTCTTCCCTTTCATTAAGAATTGTACCATTAGAAGAATTTAAAGACTCACCTTGAAACTCACACATTGTGGTCGATTCTTAGATGCTTCTTCATTTCGAAATAACCTGCCTTAGGGAATTGCTCCCGCATTTCGTCCAAATGTTCCAAGACAGTCTCAACAGTATGCTTTTGCTGCTATGTACTGAGGAATCCTAGCCTTTTTCTCATCCTTTTGAAGCTGGAAAGGCTGGAAAGAAACCATTAACGGATCCTCCAGGCGAGAACTTCAACATACCCCAAGGTATACTTCGATGTATCAAAAACTTTCTGGAGTTCTTCACACAGAACGGTATCGGTTACGTTGCCCTCCATCAGCCAAAGCTCTTTCAGTCTCGGCAAAATTATTTCATCTGGTACTTCACCACAGTCAATGGAATGAAAAGAAAATTTACGACAACTCACCAAGTGGAAGGTGTTGATTGGGCATGATGAGAAACAGGTATAAATGTGGATACCCGAAAATCGCTTGTTGTCCTGGCCTAGATCGGACGTAAATCTGGAAAAATCAAGGAATATCTCTTATTCGTGTTTGTCTCTGTGATGTGAAATGGAAGCATGCATAGACACTGACAGTTGTCTCATCGTTAGGGTCCTGTTATTCTGACACAATGAATGGCCCTGCATCATTGGACAAGATTTTCTGGGATATCCGGTGACACTCGTTACAATTTCGGATGGAAAATATCGGCATCTTTTTATATGAAGTGGAAATGTTCGCCAGGCCAAGAATATCTTTCACTAAAAGATGAAATTATTTCATTCTGGCTGAAAAACTGGTTGAATTTGGGCCCAGCAATGTAGTCTTTACCATAATTAATTAACCATTTTAAGACGGTATGACAATGCGCAAAAATGGGTATATAAAGCACACTTTCATTGTGGAGACCGCAAAACTTTCATGAGTGAAAACACTTCCAGTTCTCAAGCAGAGACTTGTGTCCTCTTGTCTTGCTGTGTTGGCGTGCTTCTGCTCTTCACGGGTAAAGCCTCTTCTGAGTATTTTCACGACGTTCAGTTGACAAAATTCAAGGCTTTTATCACTCTCACAGACTGCTCACAGCCATCACCTCGAAGTCTCTTTGTGCATGCTTAGCAAACCCAGCCTTGCAATTCAGTAACGTCTTTCTTCCACATAGGTGTTCGACCCACAAAGAGACTGATTATGGAACCGAGCAAAATGTCGCTCCGCAGTCCGCCTGCCTTTACCATCTTTATAAAGTGTCCATCTGGGAACTTTGCGCTCGGTAAGTTTTACAAAGTCATTGATCGCGTCTTTGGTGAACTGTTTTTCCAGTCGTCAATGGAAGTTCATCCATTCAGAATATCTTAGAAATTCTAAGACAGAAAGTCTCCAGCAGACAGGATGTTTGCGGTATCTTTTCAAGTCCATTCCATTTGTACATGCATGGCAGATGGCTTCCTTTATCCGCCATGGAGACGCTGGATGCTCTGAACGTGAGCGACCTTTCGACTTTACATTTCCGATCACTGCTGCTAGGGGGTGCCAGTAAGTATTCGACAATATAATGCGCTGGCAGGTACTGACACGTTCCAGGCCCAGTTGATCCGGTCGATCTTACCTTCGCACTAGATGATAGTTCCGATCATTGCAAATACCAGCATTGCAAAAGTCGCAAAGCGAATGGTGATCCATACAAGTTTCAGCCAGGGGAGGAAAAGTTTCAAATGAAGGCATGTTTGTGCAAGGATGGGCCTGCTACGTTGAGGAACCTGGGGACTGAGACCCTGACCTTGACGACTTGTAAATCCTGTGCTGCGCTTGCGTCAAAGAAAAGTATGCCCTTTTGCGCTTTCACCTCTTCCAAGCCAATATTCTTTTATAGAAGCTGCATCACAGCACGCAAGACATCTATCGAAGAAAGATGGAGTGGTGTCATCCTGTAAGTCTTATCCACATGCACAATGCGATAAATCTCATTGGTTTTGTTAGCCCGCCAGATGGCACCACCACCCGTTCCAACGATTCCAGGAATTCACCTGCTCGAAGTAGCCGATGCTATTCTGAAAGTCATTGCATCCATCCCAAACACCCTTTCAATTGATGAAAGTGTCAAGAAGGCCAAAGCAAAAGGTAGGAATGTTTACTGACCTTTTCTTGTTCGGTGAATGTACTCTCTGACAGGAGCTGTGCCGGAATCGAGGTTGCCAGTCGCGATATCATCGTTGCTGAACAAAAATGCCCTTAAAACCAGTTATTCGCCTGCTCATTATCTCTACAATTCTGAGAAGGACAAGTTTCGCAAGCTCGCGGTAGAAGGTCAAGGCGTACTTGCAAAGGTCTTTGTTCAGGTCAAAAGGGAAAATGGGACAAGGAAAGGCATCTCCTTCCACGTAAGCTGTAACTTTGTCACGGTTACACCATTTGACTTTTGGCAGAACATACAATGTGGTGTCACCTTTCCTCCTCTGACTCCCCATGCTGAAGTCATGCAATGTGTGCTCGAAAGCCTGCTTGTTTTAGTACAAGCCCATCACAAAGTGAAGGGCTTCAAGTTCACTACTGACGATTTCTTCATTGTGGACTCTGGGTGGATACCCGTTCTGGAAGGAGATTTAACGAAACCAACAGAGTTGTTTTATAAAGGTATAACCAAAGGGCTCTCAAAGAAGGGCACACCAGTCGGAGGCTTGAAATATTCTCAGAGAGCCCCTGAGAACTGGTATATGGTACTCAAACCCTGCAGCAGCTGAAAGATATGACGAATGGGAGGCTGATGATACTCCAAAGGTATGATTATCATCATTATGTGTCAATTTACGTTGATTTCTTTCAAGTTATCCCCTGTCAAGAATGGAAAGGGAAGAAGCGCGAAGAACCAGAACTTGATTCAGATGTACATTAACTAGGATGCCCCTGTTCAGATATTCATTGATTTTAAACAGATGGATGACCTTTCGGATATCGATTATGTTTCAATTGTTTCCGGACCACCTGAGTCGACCATCTCAGTGAGAGGAGGACATTCTCTTTGTCGCACAACCTAACATCATTCTTTAGGCGAATAGCGAACGGTCCATGTTCCTCAAAACGGGCGGTGGGTGACTTTCCAGTTAAGTCTTACCAGGC